TGCCGAGAAGTGGTTCCTGGTATCCCACAAAAACTTTCAACCCTTTTCCCAATCGAAAATTTTTTTTTTTTTTAAGCATTTCACCCCAAGCAAGGCGGGAAGCCACTAGGACGCAAGGGGTTACAGAAAATTTAGAGCAAGATCAGATAGGAGTGATAGAAGAAAGGATGAGGATAGTGGATAGATCAAGGCAACTGGAGATGTCGATTGACATTACACTTGAATAGCTGGAGATTATAGCTCTCAGGGAAACATGAGAAGGGAAGGGAGTTCCACAGGCGAGAGGTGCGATACATGAAGTTATTAGAGTAGAAGAGACGGCTACATTTAGGAGTTTCGACAGTGAAAGGGTGAGAGCGGGATGCCAGCCTCGTAAGGTGCTGGAACTCATGACGTTTGGGAACCAGCGAATGCAGCTCCTGGGAACAATTTCCATGAAAGTATTTGTAGAACAGACAGAGGGAGGCGACGGCGCGTCTGTGAGAAAGTGACTGTAGACGAGACGCCAGGGCAGGACCAACCACATTGCATATCCGTCTCTGGAGCCTATCAAGAACCCCGAGGCAAACAGAAGGGGCACCAGACCATATATGGCAGCAATACTCCATGCAAGGGCGAATTGTGGATTTGTAGATCTGGAGAATCGACTCCGGGGAGAAAAACTTCCTAGCGCGGCTCAGGGAGCCAACTTTCCTTGCAGTGGATGCCAAGGAGTTTTTTCATGCATTTGTTCTCAAACGCTTGGTTCATTCTCTTTATAACTACCAACAGTGTCCACGTTTCACATCCATATAGGAGAATTATATTAGAAAAAATAAATAAGGAATGGACTGCTGTGTAATATCAAACCACCTGAGCCATTTGATAACAACTAATTGGCAGCTGATCTTAAAAATAATTTACATTCTAGATTATTTACATCATTCGGACTATTGTCTTCATCTTTGTCGCCATATTTATTACAACGTTTCGGCCGTTGTAAGCTCTGGTCTTCTTCAGGTGGTTGGAATGTCGAACTGAACCCTTTATTTCGGAGCGTACAACGGCCGAAACGTTGTAATAAATATGGCGACAAAGATGAGGACAATAGTCCGAATAATGTAAATAATGTACACAATACATCATCTCAGAAATATAGACAAATTTACATTCTGTTGTTAACTGGGGCAAGAAATGGCTTGTTAATTTTAACGCCACCAAAACAGAACCGTTCTCTTTTAATTGTCTCAGAGAACTCCTCCTCTGCCTTGCATCAATATGGCTGATGCTAATCTCCAGGAAAGTGAATCATTGCGCCTGCTCGGATTAACGCTTATCGCTGACATGAAGTGGAAAGATTATATCGAATCAGTTGCTAGATCTGCTGTAAGGAAAATTTCCTGTGTCGTCTTAGGCAATTTCTCTCAACAGATTTTCTCTTACAGATTTATAAGTCTATCATTCTTTCATGCTTTGAATTTTGCTGTTAGATCTGGTCTGATGCTCCTGCTATATATTTAGAGATTCTTGATAAAATCAATAGAAAAATCTGCAATGAGATAGACTCTGAGCTGGCATCTCAGCCTCATCACATTCCCATGCTGGTCAATGATGCATGACGGGTAGCAAGTCCTATATACAGTCCCCTCTCCAAAAGTATTAAAACGGAAAGATCAATTCCATTCTTTTTGTTGATCTCTGAAGACATTTCGGTTCAAGATCAAAAGATGAATATGTGAATAAAGTTCAGAACTTCAGCAAGCGTTCAGAAGCTAAGTAAAGTATTAAGAAACAAGAAGAGTTTTATTAGAAACAACTAAAACAGTCTGTAATTGCTATATAATATCAGTCCTCCTATTTGGCAATGAATTCTGGACAATTTCCTCACAGATGAAGAAACGACTTAAGGCAAAAGATAAGACGACAGATTGATGCTGAGAATACTATGGACGTAAAATGAGAGAAACGAGGAAGAAAAATGCGAAAAAAATCTATCTAAGTGATGGATTGGAAGCTTAAATTATATATTTACGCCATTCGGTGATGGGTTGAAAGTTCGGGATTTTCATTTTAATGACATTTATTTCTTATTAATTTGGTATTTTATTTAACCATTATTTACTTCCATTTTATCAATTTATAGAATACTAAAGTCGTTGTGTAGGTTTATTTATTTGATTGGTTCAAAGTGTATTGTGTGTACTATCGTTATATATCGTTATATTTTATTTTTTTATATAAAATCTCAAATATGTTTATATATGCTTATATTTACATACGGTCTGTCCGAGAGATTGAACAATTTTCTCCCTTGAATATACCATACCTTAAAAACTATATTACATACACAAACACACACGTTCACACACACGTACACACACAAACACACAAAGAGAGAGAGAGAGAGAGAGAGAGAGAAATATAGACACATAATCAAACACGTATACACACAGAAATATATATGTATATATATTTAATATCAACTGTTTTTATCGATCTACCTATCTTTCTATATTTTAATCTATCTATCTATCTCGGTTTGTTCATATCCATATATCTATCCATCTATCTCAGTATATTTATATCTACTTATACACTACCCTACCTTCCATATCTCTCTATCACGGTCTGTTCATATCTGTCTCTTTGTGTTCCTATCTGTCCATCTCTGTCTGTCTCTCTCACTTACTCTCTCTTTCTCTCTCTCTCTCTCTCTCTCTATATATATATATATATATATATATATATATATATATATATATATATACCAGTCTGTTTCATATCTATCTATCTATCTATATATCTATCTGTCTGTCTGTCCAAAACTCTCTTTCTCTCTCTCTCTAAAGATATATATATATATATATATATATATATATATATAAGTATATTTCACAGTTAAATTAGATACATTTGCGGATTTTTTTTTTCTTTTTGCCTTCTTTTGGTCATCGTTTGTTTTGTTTTTTGGGGTTTTTTTTGTTATTTTTTTTTTGTTATAGATTTTTTTACATTTTTGTGTAACATTTTTTCCTCTTACCGCCACCGCCTTCCACCTCCACCACCCCCGACATTCTCTAACCAATTTTTTTTTTTTTTTCTTCTTCGCCTCTTTCGCCTGGCTGCCTATCAGTGTTCAAAAAGCTGTACAAATTAACTTAGGTACCAAGAAGAAGTATATCACAACGTAGCCGGCTCTTTTTCTCACTCGTATATTCCGCCTCCGGGGTTCGAGCTGCGTTTAACGCATCGTCGGACTCACATGTCCCCCAAATCACTCTGCAAAGGACAGATGAAGAGAGATAGAAGGATGTAAGAGCGAACAAGAAAGAAGTCTATGTCGATGTGACGGGAGGGGGGGGGAAGTTGTGAGGATGGTGTGAGGGGGAAAATAGGATGGCGCAGGGCGATGGTGGCGGCACTTATAAGTAAAGGTTTGGGGTGGGGATGTTCCGAGGTATATATGAGAAAAAAGAGTTAAAGTGAGAAATATATACAGGGAATTTAACAACAGAAACAGAGAGAGAAAAAGAAGAGATGAGACGAGACACAGAGAGAGAGAGAGAGAGAGAGAGAGAGAGAGAAAAGGTTAGTTGGAATAATAATATTAACAATAACAAGAATAATAACAACAATAATAATACCAACAATAATAATATAATGACAAAAATAGCAATAATAATAATGATAGTAATAAGAACAATAATAATTATGACAATAATAATAAAACCATAATAATATAATGACAATAATGACAATAGTAGCAATAATAATAATGATAGTAAT